GAGTGTGAAGCACCTTGCTTCTTTTAGAGCAAATGCCTGGCTGGATTGCCAGGAAAGGAGAGGTATGAAAAGCAGTCTGCTATGACAAATCCAGAACATTTGATCACAAAGTTACAGTCTATGTGTTGAAGTACTGAATGAATTTCTAGACAGAGTAGAAAATAAGAAAATGAAATTTACGATTATGGGAAATCAGTTCGCGAGGTTCCGCTTTCTGTTTGGTTGGTCTGGTCACGGAGGTCATAACGCAAAACATGTTCAGCGAACGGTCTGATTTTCTTATCCTCTGGGAAAATTTCGTAGGCTAGAACATTCGCAAAATTTGCAGGGTTATTACACATGGTCCGGCTGTAAAACTTTTCATTCAATCTATTGACAAAATCTTGTATTGTTTCCATTTTAAGGTGTGAGTGAAGACCTATTCCTGGCAAAGTAGGGAGCATTGGTGATGAAACGTAAAACCTTGCTTTGAAGAGATGAAGTCCTTTTCACTGGCGTTCGCCCATGCTTGAACGCGTAAGTAATAATCGGACGGATGATGGAATATAGTCTCTTTTTCAAGTTGAGAGAAAGATGTACACTTTTTTAGTAGTGGAAAAAAGCCTGAATACAATGCCTTAAGCTTTGCCACACACTCTGTACATGTGGTCAGAACAGGTGAAATTTCTGTTGAAGGTGTGTCCAGATAGTTAGCAGAATTCACCCTCGAGACTTGGGCTTCGAAGAGCTTAACATCCGACGTGATAATGTCCCTTTTTTATATTTACTTATTAGCAGTATTTTTGATTTTTTCTAGTTGAAAGCACTTCCACCTGGTCCACCTGTTGCATATATATAAAATTTGTTATAAGTACTAAAATAATTACATTTTGCTACAGAACTGTCTTTTTCTTCAATCCTTCACCCAGCCGTTGTACATAAATATTTACAAAATCATAGACCTGCTCCAATTTCGTGAGAGGAAAAAAATCAACAAAACAGGCATTCGGAACATTAAAACTAAACTTTACAGGCTAAACTCTTTCCTTACCATACTGAAATAACCAACTGTTAATTCTTTTGGAAATACGGCTATTATGCTAATTTTTCCAAAATTCTGCCCTCATAATTTCAATCCTAAAAGATAAACATTCCACTGATCTATTACCCTCTTTAGGGTTCCTCCAAGGGATAACCATTTCGGGTGCAGATTACTTTAGCAGTTTCATTTTTCCATATTTTTACATGTTTCGCACAACATGAATATTTGAAAAGAGAATACTTAATTTACTCAATTCATGATTACTCACTGCAGAATTATTTTATCCAGCTGATACGCCATCATGTAGACATTTCTAAAACATTTAAAGTTATGTTGAGTCTGGTTTTCCATTGATGAGATAAAATTTATTTTTCTGATGATAAAACTTGCATGGATTTTTAAAGAGGTCATAGAAAAGAACAATTACTTAAAGAGAGCCCAAGTTTATTGTTTTGCATCCTAAAGCTAAAATTACTCAAATTGTTCATGGGCTATGTACAAGAATACAAGGGCTAATAAAACGATGTATACTATACAAAAACTGTTAAATAAGGCTGAGGAGAACACCATGAATATTTGAAAAGAGAATACTTAATTTACTCAATTCACAATTAATCACTGTAGAATTATTTTATCCAGCTGACATGCCATTTAAAGTACAAACATGTAAAATAACAGCCTCATTTCCATTGCCTCATTAAAGTAAGAGAAAACTGTTGCTTCCAGTTAATAAATAAGTGAAAATAATATATTAACAATAATTATTAAATTAATTAATAATCATTTATTTAGAATTAAAATAACTGTGTTCCATACACAATGTCAGAGATGACAGACATTTCTAAAACATTTACTATGTCTTTTTCTTGGACATCTGCTGTCTCATTCAGAACGACAGATAGACATGTGCATAATCTGCACCACTTAAATCTCAATGCCTGTATGTGCTTTACAGGATCAGCAGTTTCAAGGTAACACTATGTTTGAATAAAAATTCTGTAAACAATCATTCAGCCTGTAGAATACAGATTCTTTGGAATAAGTTACAAGGTATTTTCTCCCTTCTTTCACGATGTAACAGTAGCATACACAGCGCATATTCAAGAGGTCCAAGGTTCGAGTCACTGCGCATTTTTCACGCCTCCTACTTCAAAATAATTCTGTACAATCACCGACTCTACAATGTTACTAATTTCTTGAATTCTGCCCTTTCCAAACTGTAGGCATCTGATCAGTGTTTTATATAGACACACACATTTACATTTCACAGGCTTCAGAGTATCACTTTTCCCACCTTAAGGTATGAAAAATCTCGTAAATCTTGCATTAAAACAATCAGGCGATGGCTGGTTGATTCATTAAGGCAAAGCACACAAGGGCAATGTACCTAAAAAAGGGATGCCTTCATGGAGAACTTTCCAAGAAAAATTAGCTCATGACATAAAGAAGAAAAACCATGGATACATACTACTACCAGCATGTATGCCGGGTCAATGTTCAGTGGCCAAATTACATTAGGCAAATCGTGAACTCAGATAAATGTTGTAGAATACACATACTTTTGAAAATTCATGTCTTTTTGCTGAAGAAAAATACATTCTCTTCCTTCTTATTTCCTCCTATGATTAAATCAAATTTTTTAAAACTAAATGCTAGCAATGCAACTGAAAAGCACCCAAAGGACTTTGAAATCACAATTTACACAGGATTGATTACCAGATCTGCTGGCTATGATTTTGCAGACCACCTTAAAAAAAAAAAAAAAAAAAAAAAAAAAAAAAAAAAAAAAAAAAAACATGAAAGTTAAACATTTAAAAATATTTTTCAAAATTATTGCAATTTTAATGAATTATCTTTACTTACAATAAAATATTTTTGTCAAAGAGATCCAATTACAATTTCCAAGGCAAACTCGCCATAAAACTTGTAAAATGGTGATTAATCTCCAAAATTATTGATGCCCAGTAGAAAATTATACTAAGACAAATGGTTCTTTTATATAATGAAATGCTCTAAATTTTATCACCAGTCCCCTTCTTGGTTGGTTGGAGTTTTGAGCCCAAAACCCATGGGGATTATGTTGAGCCAAACAAAAGGTTGCGTATTTTCAAAACTTAAATAAAGACAAAAATACATGCACCATCGAATGCATACTCACAAGTGGAAATTTAAAACGTTACATATACCGCCTTCTTGAAGAAGGAAGAAAATTTTCTTCGGTCATACAGTTCTAGATTCAGATAAAAAAATCTGAGAACAAAAAATATGCACCTAAAATAATGGTTTGAGGATAAATCCCCATAGTTTTTTTTTTTTTTTCTTTGTACAAACAAGTACATTACAAAGTCTGAAATCCGGACGTCCATTATCCAGAATGATCTAAAATCTGGACATCAAAACCATCAACATTTCTCTGGTAGGTCTTACATATGCGCATTTGATTCCCCCCTGCACATAATAAAACATCTAGAGACTCCTGCTTGTTTATTTCACTTTGACACTAAATTAAATACCTTGTTATTGAAGAAACAATCATTTTAGCATAAATCTGTACGATGAGTAATTTGGCTCCGTTGCTGCATATCTGCTTGGCACCCATCTCAAATCGAAACATTCTACATAGATACATCGTTGATCTGATGCCAACCTGGCAAATTATTATTTTTATCCTTTCATCACCGCATGTTTATCAAAACATGACAACTTGAGTAATGACTCATGTAGCAATCCTAAACAATTTTTTATGTTAGTAATTGAATAATAAAGGAGTATGGTAACCTTTTATGTTATTACGCTTGGCAATAATTACAGATCTAAGTTAAATGTACTAAAAATGTTGACGAGGAAAAATTACCAAAAATTTCTTTCCATATGCTAAAAATAGATTTTGCTAATGATACTCTAAAACACAAAGATTACATTTAGGGCTATTTGAATTAAGAATAACCGATTTGTTGTTCACATAAGCCCAGAACCAACGCCAGGGCTCGTATGGCCGTGCCGAGTTGCGGAATTTAGGACCCACAGAGACCGCATCAGGCGGTAAGATATCTAGTTCTGGCCCTCAATAAGGCTTAAGTAAATGTGGAAATTGATTTATTCAGAGCTCTGATAAGTCTTAAGCATGTGCAAGAAATATACATAAGTATAATAAATAACTAAACTAATACACAATTCAGGCTTAATTGACTCGGTGCGTGATAGAAGCGAGAACGTAACAACTTGTCGTTAGTCGCCAAGCTCATGATGCATAGCCAAATATGTATAGTGTGGTGTGGTGTATTTTATTATGGCAAAGCACACTAGGGCTATCTGCCTAAGGGGAGGGATGCCTTCGTGGAGGACTTTCTAAGGGAAACTGGCTCGTATACACGTTACACATGGGGAAAACCACAAAAACGCCCATGCAGCCAGCCCGTTCGCGGGATTCGAACCTCGGACCGAAATACCAGTGTTCAGCGACTTTACCGCTCGGCCGCTGGTGGGCCCTAAATATGTATAGTGAAGGACAGCTAAATTTGATGATGATAGCCGCTAATTTTAAAGGTTTTCGGATATTGCAAAACAAAGGTGAAATTTTCCAATAATTGGATTTTGTAAAGAAATTCGGAGAAGCTGTACTAAATAAAAATGATATAAAATAAGTTTTTCATTGTGATGACAATGCTTCTCAATCATCAATCAATTAATAAATAGCGAAACCTGTAGTATGGTTCTAGATCCAGAAAATATCGCTACCAATAATGAAGAATGCGACAGAGAAGTTACCGAAAACGAGAAAATTTCGATTGACAAGTTAGTCGGAATTCTCGAAACAGCAGTTACAGGACTTCAACAATGTAACTAAACAAGAGATTGTCCGTCTACAGAAAAAAGTCATTGCATATTACAGGAAATGTTCTGAAATTATTTTTAAAATGCAAAGCTATGTTTTCTCTAAAATTGTGTGATTTAAAAAGAGCTTAAAAAGACAAAATTATAAGTTTGTTCATCTTTTATTTACACATGCTTAATGTTCAACATCCTACAATGGAACTTCACATCCATAATATATCATATGTTAGCTTAATGGAAATGAGGTTTTTCTGAAGTAAAAACACATAATTTCATGATTTGTTTATTTGCAAAATGCTGAATGAACAACTGATTTCAAATAACATTTCACAATTTCTGAATATGCCTCCTCCCAAAATGATTTGGAAGCATCTATACATCTAAATCAGTATAACAATGAGATTTTTTGGGATTAACTACACCCTACAAATGTAGATTTTGCATTTCTAATCATTGAATAGTATCTAACCTCATATAACAATTCTATTATACTTGAAGGACACAGTTCAACACTTGCAGACAAAAATTAATTTAAGATATGAAATATACATTTTTGGAAAACAGTTGAGAAAATTTACAGTTTGTAATAAAAGCATCAATTTTAGAATTCTGACAAAATTTAGAAGATTAGTACAAACAGTATGAACACTAATGATACACAGTTAGAAATAATAATAAAGCAGGGTTAGAATTTTCAGTTTATTTCCATACATACTTGCATATCACTAAATACATATTACAAACACATGGAATGTATACATACTTAAGAAATAACATTCTAACAAAGCTTGTACTTGAACATTTATAATTTTAATATAACTTTTACACTGTGATTAAAAAATTACACATGCAGAACTTATAATGAAATGCACACAAAATTAAATAGACTACTGAAATTTGCACAAGTGCACTTTGGAGCAAATAAATATCTTATATGTACATTATAAATCTATAACAACCCTTTGAAATATTTAACAAAAGCTGCATAACAAATGTCTTTGGCAATGATAGCCTGTGATGAGGAAAATGAATTAAGCTCTTTAAAGAGTGACATCACTACAGTCACTTTGTTGTTAGCTTATTCAAATTTTTCATCACATTCTGAAGAAATTAATATTCTGAATACAAAAGTCAAACAAATATTACCTGGCCTGACAAATATCTACAATTATAAGAATATGATACAGCAGTTCATTTTCTCTAAAGTAAATTTTTCCAAATAAAATTTGTTAGTTAAAATCCAAATTCCAGACCTGTACTACTAAACAAAATTTAATTAATCTTTAATTTGTTGGTACTTTAAGACACACTATAAAAATAATTTTAAAGTATGCAGATCTAGAAAATATTTTTTTAAGTACTTGAAAAAAAAAAAAAAAAAAAAAAAAAAAAAAAAAAAAAAACATTACAAAGGAGAAATTGAAAATGATATGCAATTCTTTCCTCAAACTAAAATGAGCACTTCAGAAAAAAATCCATTCACAGCTTCTATTACATGCATATAACTTAATGAGACAATCACTTAAAACATTTAGAATGTGCAAGGACACTCTTTATCATAAATTTTAAGCCACATTACAACATCACATTTAACATATTGGGGTAGAAATAAATTTGAGGTAACTTTTACAAGGGCAGACAAAGAGAAAATCAGACAACATGAAAGGCTATGAATGTTTTATAATTAAGCAGGGATATCTACCTCAGACATTTAGGGATGAAAGTGACATTTACAAGTGATTAAAAATATAACCATGTTTAAAACTATAAAATGAAAAAACAAAATGAAATTCATTTTTAAAAGAAACTGTGCTAATAAAAACGGGTCAGAAATATATATATATCAGCTTAAATTCTTTATACTCTACTTCTTTCCCCCCCCAAAAAATCTTACGATTAAAAGATCTTAATGTACCTTAAAACTGTAGAATTAAGAGATATGATATCCATGCTTAATTTATTTTTAATCAGAGGTGATAAAAGGGGAATAACAGAAACAAAGCATACAACTCTCAGTTGAAACTCATGTGCAGTCAATATAAATAACCACTGTTTGGCTAAAGAATCTGCCCATGTACACTTTAGTCTCACAGTTTAAAGCTTAGTGGTAAGTATAAGGGCAACAATCAGCCCATACAATCCAAGTACTTCAGCAAAGATGAGGATAAGGATCATGCCAACAAACAGTCTTGGCTGCTGTGCTGTTCCTCTTACACCAGCATCTCCTACTACCCCTATGGCAAAACCTGCCGCCAAACCACTCAAACCTACACTGAGACCAGCTCCAAAATGTAAGAATCCCCTAAAATAAAATTTCATATATTAGAAAAGATTCTTTTTTATTGTATTTAAGATCTGCTGACTCTTAAGGGCCATTCAGAATGGGGCTTATCTAGTTAACAGAGTCAGTTCCATGTGTCGACTAGCTCCGCTATGCATTCAGATTTTTTAACTCTCTGCACTATGGGGAAAAACTGGTTTTGGCGAATGGTCGGCATCTCATCTCAAAACCGGCAACAAGTCAGTTGTCTCCGCTAGCTCAGATAAACCCCAGTCTGAACAGGCACATCAGAATTGCATAAGTAAAAAGTAATAAAGAAAGTTGTACTCAAAAATTTAATGTATACAGCAGGGATGGCCAAACTTCATGTCAGTAAGAACTGCATGTTGGAGTTCAGCCGCGAGACCATATTTACCTCAATTTAAAAGTAGTGAAACAGAATTAAAAAATTAACTTTTTTCTTTTGGGCATTGAGTAGTTTTAGTTTACCATATTTCATACATACATTTTATTTGCATAAAAGACGCACCACTCACCTGCAAGAGCCGCATGCTTCTCGCAAGCTGCATTATGGCTGATCCTAGTATACAGCAAGCCACAGTAATCAAGAGAAATGGTAGTTTTGATCAAAATACACTAGGACCAAATTTTGAATTTTACATTTGTTACTGTACCACAATTATTTGCAATTCAATATTTTTTCAAAAAGTATTTAGACCTCTGGAAAAAGGTTTTACTTAACTTTTTACAATATTAAACATTTTACACAAAATACTTAAAAAACAAATTCAATTTTAACTACATTACTCAGGATATCAATACTAGAACTTTCAAAATCATAATTTCAAAAATAATGCATGAAAAAACTTTAAATATTTTACTGAAATTTAGAGCGCTACATTAAAAGTGAGGAATCCCCTCCCATGCAAGTTATAAGGTCACTGGTGTCCTAACCATAACATAAAATAAAAGTCTCATGGAAAAAACTTCAGCGCACAATGTGTTAATAAAGTGAACTACATACAAGATCTGAATGCTTTTATAATAAAATTAACTACATAAAACATTTGAATGTTTCCTCTATTCCTTATTTAATGGACTTTAAATTGGCATTTTATATAAAATACAGATGTACAAAAACATGCAAACTTACTTATACAATTTATATCCATCAGTTGACGAACTAATATTATTTGCTATTAAAACAGCAACGACTAATCCATAAATAGCAATTATACCAGCCATAACTACAGGAATAATTGACTTCATGATTAATTCTGGCCTCATTATGGACATAGCTGCAATTCCAGTTCCACTTTTAGCTGTCCCATAGGCTGCTCCAAGAGCTAGCAGAAAAGAAATAAGAGATATTAACTACAGTATACTTAACACACAGCATCAATTCCTCCCCCCCCCAACCTTTCAGTTCCGGGCAGCAATTTTCAATACCACCAGTGTAGTAGCCACAATTACAAAACATTTACCAAAAATTAAATTTCTCAAAAATGATGCTCAATGGGAACAAATCTAAAATTAAATCATGCCACAAGAATTTTTCATTTTGGACATGTCCCTACTGCCATAGCTGCTTCAAATATACTTAAAAGGTTATACATTTGTAGTTCCTTAAGAATTGGTCCACTTACTGCACCAGTTTATTTGTGCTAAAAATGTTTGTCAATGAAAATAAATATTAGACCGGCCATGACTGTATGCATCTTAGCATTCAATTCTAAATTATTACACACACACATATATATATAAAATTTAAAACCTTTTTTTATGTTCCTCCTCCTGACGAAATGACATTGAAGTTGACTGAATTCCTCTTCTATTGTGTTCTTTCTTCTTTAAATTTCATAGTTTCTTTTTTTTAATTTGGACTATTGTTTATTTGAGGAGTTTTGGTTTTAACATTTACTAAACTCTTTTTTGCATTTATAGGATTATTTGAAATTTATTACTTATGAATTTCAATTTTTGGTCTTTGTGAAAAATTGGTTCTAAATTTCTTACTTTACATATAATATTTTGTTACAAATTTTATATGTAGTTAGTAGAATCATAATTAAAATTGTTTTATTTCCCTGTGCAATGTAACAGGAGACATATTTTAAGAGAAAGCTACGACAGAAAAGTAAAAATACAGAAGCACATGCATTTAACACTTAATACATAGGTATTTCGTAATTCCAATTTAAATTGAAAAAATGTAATTGACTACTGTGTTCGCTGTACCAAAGAAGTTGATATCTTAAAGAAATTCGTAATGACAGCAGGGTTCAATTCTGATAGTTTAAAATTTTTACCCATGCTTGCTCGTCCCTCTGAAGTTATCCACATATGATGGGAAGACATCTTGGCAAGTGTATAAAGACACAATTTCCTAAAGTGGCAGATGCGAATTGATGGGATTCGCAAGCTAAGACCTGTCATCTCACCGCTTCTCTGAAAGCAGACACTGTGGATATTCTTCAAACTCTTCTAGAAAACCAGAGACTAGACTTCGAAGCTCTATCCGGTGTGTTGGAACTGCACTTTGGTGAGAAGTGTTTAAAAGATTATAGCAGGCTTCAATAAAAATCCCATCACCAGAAGCCCACGAAAACACTCCAGGAATTTGCCACGGATAATGAAATGCTGTCACATCTCGCTTTTTCGGAATGCCCGCCAAAAGCAAGAGAAATCCCATCCTTGCCAGAAGAATCCTTGCCATCACCAGAAGCCCACGAAAACACTCCAGGAATTTGCCACGGATAATGAAATGCTGTCACATCTCGCTTTTTCGGAATGCCCGCCAAAAGCAAGAGAAATCCCATCCTTGCAGTACTTCATCGACGTTATCTGGGATCCTGAAATACAGAGAGCTCTGCAAATGGCAGATGTCCAGGACTTAACTCTTTTGCATCGAAGTCGCCCCAAACACCCGAGCATTCAGACATCGGCTGGATGCCCGAAACACCTGAATAATTTCCTACCCAGTGCTTTCCCCCCCCATCATGTTACTGCATTACTCATTGCTTTCAGGTGTTGTTAAATGACATTCAATCCTTCTTTGAAGCTAAAAAAGTAGTTCTTATCACCTTCTCTTTACTGTCAGTGTTTAGCTTTTGATGCCTGAAGTTGCAATCCCGTCCCAAGGGGGAACTTCACACAGTGTCAAAGCGTCGAAGAAAGAAGTTCTCGCTTTACTTAAGTAAGGCTATTGTTAGCGCTGTAGTATTCAACTTGTCATGGGGGAAGGAAAAGCACTCCAGGAGAAATTCTTAGATACGGGCGTTTTCGATGTTTGGGGAATTGAGATTTTGCCCTCTCTCGATGCGAAAGAGTTAAATGTGCTCTAGTGTACGCCATGAAATTCGAGGCAGCCCAAGTCCAACAGACAGTGGATCAAATGGCTGCTTGCCTAGATGATTTAACAAGTCAATGCTTTGAGATAGAATAGGAGTGAAAAGAAACCAACCCTAAAATGCCGGAGCTGCGGTGTTGAAGGCCACATATGGAGGAACTGCAGAACACTCCATGGCACAGAAAATATGACCATTCCCCAGCAACGCCGCAGGAAACAAATTAATGGCCATATTGCACAGAGGAATTAGAAGGATAATGAGAAGCTCCATTTCAAAGCGCTACAGATTTCTGCAATGAATGGCAGCAATAATGGATTCTTCATCATGGGTCATATGAATGGAGTTCTTTACAATATGATGATCAATACAGAAACAAATGTTACCATCATTCAGAAAGATTTAGCTCAACAGTTTAAAGAATTCATTTGGATGTCATCCTGTGTTACCCTCCAGACTGTGTCTGGTGATAAAATCCACATAGATAAATCAATATAGTTAATTGACATAGTTAAACGTAAACATCACATTTGGAAGTGCTGCCTACTATCAAACGGCATGTATGGCAGATATAACATATCCTTTTATACTCGGATTGGACTTTCTAAGAAAATACAATTTTTCCTTGGACTTTAAAAATAACGAACTGCATTCAGTATTCTGAGGACATGTTATGTCCTCACAATCATATCCATTATCAGAATCGGATGACTGAAAGATTTTCCAATGGCAGCTGATACTCCCAAGATACCAGATGTCTTCAAAGGAGTATATAGCAGCCCTACAGGAGGCCAATTCGGAATAATAAACACCTTGCACAGAGTTCGCGAGCACTTCTACTGGAGTAATGTAAAAGATGGCGTACAAAAGTGGTGCCGATATTACGATGCCTGTGCAGGTCGGAAAGGACCGAAGAAATGCAGCCGAGGCAAGATGCAACATTACAATGCGGGAGCACCTTTTAAATGTATCACCTTTGACATCCTGGGATCTCTGCAAATATATCCTTGTTGTCATAGATCACTTCACCAAGTGGTCTGAAGCGAATTCTATTCAGGATCAAGAGGCTGTTACAGTAGCAGAGGTAATGATACAGCATTGGATTTCCAGGTTCGGAGTGCCTCTTCAGTTACATTCCAATCAAGAAAGAAATTTTACCTTGGCTGTAATTAAAGAACTCTGCAAACTACTTGGCATTGACAAAACTAAACAGCACAGCAAGGTAGAGAGGTTTAATTGAACCATCCTTAATAACCTTGCATTAGTGGTTACCAGAAACCAACAGGACTGGGACAAGAAGTTAGCACTGTTTTTACTGGCTTCCTGCAGTGCTGTCACTACCGACTATTCCCCATCTCAAACGCTCTTCGGTCGTGATGCTCGTCTGCCTTGTGATCTCTTGTTTGGCCGCTCTCCACATGCACCTTCATCGCCTGAGGAATACAAGCAAGATTTCTAGGCCCAGTTTGAGGTGGTGGATAATTTTACACGAGAGGGAGTTAACTTGGCGACGGAGAAGATGAAGTCAAGATACGACACAAACATCACACCGGACAACGATTCGACGAACAAGACAAGGTGTGATCTTGGAATCTGATTCGATGGAAAGGACTCTGTCCTAAACTACAGTCACCTTGGGACGGTCCTTACACAGTCATAAGCAGGCTGAATGACGTAGTAGTTCGGAACCGTAAGTCATCGAATTCTAAGCCCAAAGTCGCTCATTACAACATGCTAACTCCTTACTATGGCCATAGTACATAGTTTATCTAATGTAAATAGTATAGCATGGTCCTTTTTTCTTTCTAAATTTGTAAATTTTTGCACTCATTTATTGATTTGTATTTGTTTTATTTTAAGTTACTTACTGAAGTTTGTTATTGTTGGTATTATACATATGTTTATTTGCAGTGTGCTTTAGTTGTAATATGCCTTCTGCCGGGATTGTACTACCCGGATGGGCAGTCCTTGGGAAGGAGGTAGTGTTACAAATTTTGTATTTAGTTAGATATTTTTAGTAGAATTATAATTAAAATTGTTTTATATTCCCATACAATGCAGCACAAGACTTATTTTAAGAGAAAGCTACACCGGAAAAGTAAAAATACAAAAGCATGTGCATTTAACATTTAATAAATAGATATCTCGTAATTTATATTTAAATGGACTACTGTGTTAACTGTAGCCGTAATTCCATCCTCTTGTTGGTTTCCAGAAATCTCGAGAAGCAACGAAATTACTAGAACTCTCTTGCGACCGATTGAAAGCTTTAAAAAGCCGGAGACAGACATTTCAACTCAGTTGTTTAGAGCTGCTGTTATTTTGATTGGATTAGCTTTCTCACGGGATTGCTTGTTATGTTTAGTAGTTGAAGGATAACTACTGATTATTAGTGTGTATTGTTTGTACAAATATCTCTAGGAAAAGGCAGCGTTCTGTTATATTTCTTTTGATAAGAATAAATTGATTAATTTTTATGGACTTGTGCATTCAAATTACGACCCTTGCATGCAACGATTAATATATCTATATATATATTTCCATTTGTTTTATTTCGGGTATGTATTCTATTATTATAAAATATTCTAGTAAGTATACTGCATCTTCAGCATTATAAAATATTGTAGTAAGTATACTCTGAGTACAATAAAATAGTTAGTAAAGCTGAATATTATTTGCACAGATTTTGCCAAATGATAGTTGTCAACAGGTTTTAAATTAAAAATTTAGTTTGATATCTAACAGAAAACTATGAAAATAACTAAATAAAAATAAATATTTTTGCTTCAACTAAATTGTTAAGCACATGATACCAAGATCTGTCTTGCAGAATGTAGATGTTATTCCTAGCATTTTTTTGTTTTTTGTGGGTATGTGTTTTCCAAGATTATAATTTATTAAATCAGATAGAGAAATGAAATTTTTGAGAAAGTTTTTTGATTACTAGACATTGCAGTCAAGATAATTAAGTAGGTATATTAAAACAGTATCCAACAAAA